CTTTACGTTCACTTTCTGTTACAACAGTATCTAGAAGCAATTGAAGGTCCTTTTCGGAGCCTGCTATTAAAACTGTGTCATCTGCATACCTGATGTCATTAATATTTTCTCCATTTACTTTGAGGCCTGGACATTCTCCTATGTCTCTAAGGATTGTTTCACTGTACATGTTAAAGAAGTCTGGTGACATAACACATCCTTGTAAAATGATCCATAAGGCTAATTGTTCTATGCTTATCATACTCAATGGCACCTGGTGTTTTAGGTAAAGCTATAAAAACTTACTTCATCATATCTTATGGGATCTCACCGCTGTCATAAATAGCATTAGGAGCTTTGTGGTTATTTCAGTGCCTAGTTCATCCAGTGCGACAGTCACTTCAACTGGAATATTATTTGGTCCTGAGGCTTTTCCCTGTTTCATTTTCTTAATGGCAGCTTGTACTTCTGCTTTCAGTATTGGTGGTCCATTTATTTCATTCTTTATTATCGGTTTTTCTCCTTTATTATCTTTGAAAAGTTCTTCTATGTATTCTGACCATCAGTTTAAGACATCCCCGTTGTCCATTAAAATATCTCCTCCCTTTGATCTTATGCATCCTGTATTTGAGCATCTTTTTATCCCACTTACTTCTTTGATTTTGGAATGCATGTATTTGCTGTCCTTGTTTTGGTTCTTCTCTATTTGTTGACACTGATCATTTATCCATGTTTCTTTTGCTTCCTTGCATTTTTTCTTTATTTCCCTGTTTAATTCTTCTCTCTTCCATTAGGTTTAATATGTCCTGGGTCATCCATTTTTTATTAGCTTTTTTAGCTTTCGGGGGGATATTTTCCTCCACAGCTTCTATTATTGAGTCTTTTGTTTTCCTTCATAGTTCTTCTGATTTAATAATGTTTTCCAAGACTTGAAATTTATTTCTTACATCTAGATCTATGGTGAAACGTTCTTTCAGTTTTTGATTTGTCTTTAAAAGACCTATGTCAAATTTAGGTTGATACTTTGACTTTTTTAGTTTCTTTAGTCTTATCCGCATTTTACACATGGCTGGTACATGGTCACTATCACAGTCTGCTCCTGGCATTGATCTAGATGATTTTATTGTGTTTCTAAAACATTTCTGAATAAGTATAAAGTCTATTTGATTCCTACTTCTATCTATCTATCTATCTATCTATCTATCTATCTATCTATCTCTCTCTCTCTCTCTCTCTCTCTCTCTCTCTCTATAT